AATCTATCTCAGCCTTGAACATATATGTAATGACCCAGGGAAAGGGCCTACTTCTCTAAGCAGAAAGGTTGGTGACTGGAAGGTACAAATTTAAAGTAGCCTATAAAAGAAATTCGAGGGGAGGTGAGGGCGGTCGGCATCTGAAAATCACTGTGTCAAAAGACAGTAGAGGCAGAAGCTCAACTTATTTGAAAAGTGTTTGAACAAGTGCCTGAGGCCCTGTAATCATCAGGGGGATGTGGCTCAAGTGCTAGACAGTACAGACATTACCATAATTGTTCTATATTTTCTAAACATTTGAAGAAGAGACCTGTGTGAAGATGTGAGGAGAGGGGCAGGAGGGTCACAGTGTGTGAATTGATCCTTAGCAAGGCCAGATTTGACACAGTGTAATGATGTATCAATTCTATGATCCCTAGTCTTTGTTGAGTTCAAAAATCTAAACCGAAAAGCTAGTGGAAGGTACAAGATTATTTACTTTTAAGACTGGGAGGAATGTGCAGCTTGTCAGATTCCCTGTGAGAGGACGAAGAGAACAGGCCTGTATTTAGAAGGGCAGCAGTGACAGGAGAAAACGACCAGTGACAGAGAGACCTGTTTTTACCTATCAGAACCAAACTGTGATGTCACAAGAAAACAGGCCAGTGATAAGTGAATTTTTATTCTATGTCACTCTTGTTTGGTCAATTGATTTAAATCAGAAGACAACATTGTAGCTCAAGAGTCCAGATAGGAAATTTACTTCTAAATTATTTAGCATGCAAATGAATTAACTAAGTGGATTAGAGATGATTGGGCACCCAATGTGTTGTAGCAGTGTGTGGGAGCTAGTGAACACCGATGTGTTGCTGCTTGAGGCACCTTGGCTCAGAATTGATGAGCTGAAGTTTAAACTGAGGATATTGCAACACATTAAAGAGGGGAAGAGGTACCTAGATACTGTGTTACCTGGATGCAGTCATACCTCTTAGATTAACTATGTCAAATTTGGTCTAACCTTGTCTAATAGCTATGAGTTTCTTGTTTTTGGTGTGGATAGACTGCAGGCAGGATGAGCAACTTAACCAAAATGTCTTGGTACAGAACACCATTCAAATGGAGGGAAAGACGGTAAGAAAAATGTAATAGCATAGTTAGGGAAATAAATATTATTCTCTGCATCAAAGGCATAGAATCCTGACAGCTGCATTGTCTACCTTGTGTCAAGGTTCACGACATCTCTTCTGGGCTGGAGAGGAATTTGGAGTGAGAGGGGAAAGGATCTAGTTGTCTGTAAAGATATCAAAAATATTGCTAGGACTAGGAAAGAGGTTCTGCTGAGGGATTAGAAAGCAACTCGGGGCCAAATTCTAAAACAGGACTACAAAATAATAATCTCAGCATTATTACTTGAGCCACATGCAAATTAGTGTAGGGTAAATGAGATGAAAGAGGTAAATGCACGGCTGAAAGATTGGTATGGGAGAAATGGGTTCCAATCATGGGGCAATGGCCCCAGTACTGGAGAAAGAATGTTGTTCCATTTGGATGGGGTTCATTTGAACCATGATGGGACCAGTGTCCTGGTGAATCATATATCTAGGGTCATGGATAGGGATTGAAACTAATTAGTAGGGAGATGGTTTAATTAAAGGGAAGTTCAAAAATAAAGAAGAAACAAAAGGGTAGAGATGCAGTTTTGGGAAGAAGTGAACAATTACCAAAGTATGACAGGAAGGGGCAGAAAATGTATGCATAAATTAGAACCAAAGCAAGTAGAAATAGTAAAATGTCAAAGCTCGAGGCTCTTTATTTGAATGTATGCAGTATTTGTAACAACATAAATGAGTTGATGGCATAAATAAACATTAATGAATATGACTTGATAGTTATTACAGAGACATGGTTGTAGGGTGACCAGGGCTGGGAGCTCAATATTCAAGGATTTTCGACAAACCTTAAAAACAGGCAGAAAGGAAAAGGACGTGGAGTAACTTTGTTAATAAAGGAAGGCACCAGTGAAGTGTTAAATTGCGATACAGGTGCTATAGATCATGATGTACAATCAGAAAGTGCTGGAGTGCCATTTCTATTTCTGATTTCCAGCATCCACACCATTTTGGTTTTATTTTATATGACATGCGTGCAAACAATGAATAGCAAGGGAAAGAAGTCACAGGTAGGATTCATCCACAGGTCCCCAAAGAGTTGACTGACTGTAGAACAAAATATAAATCATAAATAATGGAGATATGCAAGCAGGGCCCTACATTTGTCATAGGTGACTTTAATCTGCATATTGACAGGACAAATTAGATGGCCAAGCATATTATGGAAGATGAATTTGTTGGATTCATCTGGGATTCCTTCTTGGAGCAGTACAAAACACAACCCATCTGGGAACAGGCTCTATTAGACCTAGTGATGTGTGCTGAGATAGAATTCAGAGATCTCACAGTTAAAGCTGCTCTTGGGGATCTTTTAGTGATCATAAATTTCAAATACATTTTGAAGGGAGAGCAAGCTGAGTCTCAAACTAACGTCCCCAACTTAAGTAAAGGCAGTTACAGAGGTTTGAAGAAGGCATTATCTAAAGCAGGCTGGGAACATAGACTAAGGCAAAGGTCAGTAGAGAGCAGTAGCAGGCATTTAAACAGATATTTCATAATGCTCAGCAAACGTTTATTCCAGTCAAAAAAAAATGACATAATGAGAGGGATCAACTACCCATGGCAGAGAAAAATGATCAAGAAGGTTTTCCAATCAAAACCTAAGACATCCAAAGTGACAACTCTAGTGGTAAGCTAGAGGACTGAAACTTCTTTAGGAACCAGCAGTAGATAGCTAATGAAAAGGGATGAAATTAGTTATATAAGTGATTTGACAATAAATATAAAACCAAACAGCAAAAAGCTACTACGACCATATCAAAAGAAAGAGTAGCTAAAGTGAGTGTTGGACCTTTAGAGGATGAAACTAGGGAATTGATAATGCGTAAGAGGTAAATGTCTGATAATGTAAATCAGTATTTTATATTGATCATGATGGTGCAGAACATTATAACAATCCTAATGTTATCAGATAAGCAAAATGCTAATGGGAGGAAACATCTTTTAACAGTCTCTGTCATGAGGGACAAAGTATTTGACATACTAATGGGGCTGTAGGTAGAAAAGTCGCCAGGTCCAGGACCAGATGGCCTGCTTCCAAGTGTTTTAAAGGAAGTGGCTGCAGAGATAGTTGGAGGTATTTATTAAAATATTCCAAAATTCATTGGATTCTGCGAGGATTCTAACAGAATGGAAAACCATCATTGTGACACCCCTGTTCAAGAAGAGATGAAGACAGAAACAGGAAATTATAGGCCAGTTAGCCTAACATCTGTCATTGGGAAAAAGCTAGACTCTGTTAGTAAGGAAGAAAGTGCAGGGCATTTAGAAAAGCTTCATACTACCAAACAAAGTCAGCATAGTTCTGTGAAAGGGATAATCTATTTGACAAACTTCCTAGAGTTCCTTGAGGATATAGCAAGCACAGTTGGAAAAGGGAAACTGGTTTTTGTTGGGTATTCAGAAGCTATTCGATGGGGTGCCACGTAAAGGTTGTTGCACAAGACAGGGGCTCACTGTATTGGGGCCATGTTTTAACATAGATTGAGGACTGGTTAACACACAGGACACAAAGAGTTAGAATAAGTGTGCTTTTCCATTTTGGAAATATGTAACAAATGGAATGCTGGAAGAATCAGTTCTAAGGCCTCAATTATTTACTATTTATGTGATTAACCAGGAGGAGGAGACAGAGTGTAATGTATCCACATGGTCCAAAATTAAGTGGGAGGCCAAGATGTGATGAAGACATAAGGAATCTACAAAGGAAAAATATATGTTGAGTGAATGGGCAAGAACTTGCAGATGAAGTTTAATATTGGAAAGTAAAAGGTCGTGCACTTTAGCAGGAAGAATCAAAAAGCATGTCCAATATTTTAATGTAGAGAAACTTCAAAAAAGTGCAACACAGAGGGATCTGGGTTGTTCTTGTGCATGAAACAAAAAGTTAGCATGTAAATACAGCACGTAATTAAGAAGGCATGTCAAATTTAGGTCTTTATTGCTCGGGATTGGAGTTTAAAAATAAGGAAGGCTTGTTATAACTGTATAGGGTTTTGCTGAGTACTGCGTACAGTTTTGGTTCCTGTATTTAAACTAGGATATAATGGCATTGGAGACGGTTCAAAAGAGAATCGATAGTCTGGAATTCTCGACCCCAGATAGTTGTGGAGGCTAGATAACTGGAAGTATTTAAAGAGAAGGTAGATAGAGTTTTGAAAATCAAGGAATTGAGGGCTCAGTGGAACTGGCATGAAAGAAGAGATAAGGCCTGGGGCAGATCAGCTATGATCTTGCTGAATGGTAGCACAGGCTTGGGGGACTGAGTGGCCTATTCTTGCTCCTCTTTTCTTATGTTCTCTCTGCTATTATATTGAGAAATGAAAAATCAGCTGGGATTCTCACTCCTGATTGACACGCTGTGTGAATGTATGAGTCAACAATGTTCAATAATAGCTGGTGGACTTGTGGACCTGACCAACCTTTCACAACAATAATAACTACTTTGGTGATTTATTGAATAGTACCCGAAAAGGAATCAGAGCTTTCAGAGAGGAGTAAACTGGTGAGGAAAATAATAAGGAAGAATTGTTCGCATAGTGTTTTAGAGCTACACAAGTTAAGTTGATCTCTCCAGGGCTCTGAATTTCCTCAAAAGCATTGGTGGTGAATATCGCAAGGACCTTGTGGGGAATGGCTGATAGCACAATCAGCCCAGGGCAATCTCTGTAGAGTATGAACAAATTCTCCTCTCCAATTATTCTGATTTCCCCCCAAAAAACTGAAATTCTAAAGTAATGCCTTATTTGATGGTAGCTCTGCTGTCTTCTCATGTGAAACTATGTATGAGAGTAATGTGTAATGAAGCTGTACCTGGTTTTCATTCTGCTGTTTGTTTTTTTTTCCCCACAGTTAATCCAGCTGATCCTCAGTCACCTGACAGTGCCAGACCTTTGCCAGTTGGCACAGACCTGCAAATTATTGTACCAACATTGCTATGATCCTCTTCAGTATGTCCAGCTCAGTTTACAGCCTTACTGGGCAGGACTGAATGATGCCTCTCTGGAGCACCTACAGTCACGCTGTGCTCTTGTGCAGTCTTTAAATCTGTCTTGGACTGGGAATAGGGGATCTATCTCCATGCAAGGATTTTGCAGGTCAGTGTTAATGTAATTCTTGAATAAAATTAATTTACTGCAGGCACCAAAGAATATTAAACATTCGAGTTTGTCATTAGTGAGCAGACACTGTTGAGCTGATAATATGGGCCTGGTGAATTGGCTTGTGATTGTGGAGTTGAACTCATCCAATGATGCAAGACAGCTCATTTAAGTATGTTTTGCTGTTCCTAGTGCTTATCGATGGCACACTGAGAATGGCAAGTTGATGGACTGCTGGAGGCTCTTGCAGCCTGGTTCTTTGACAGAGTATCAGTTTATCTCTTGAGTAGTTAAAGATCAAATAATTGCAGTAGAGGAAGGCGATTTGACTATTTTGGGAAGACAGAAGGCCACACAGGAGGAAAATGTGTTTTTTTTGACTGACATCTCCTAAAAGACCCATTCTAAGTGGGCACTGGGGCTCTAAAGCACTGCTATTGCAGTGAAGCTACATTTTGGGAGCAACTCTGATCAAATAAATTTGATAAGCCCAATGCACAGTTTTTATGCTGGTCCTTAATACACTTCACACTAGTTTAACAAATGGAAATGTGCAACACTAATCAGTAGTAGGCCTCAGCCCTCTATGTGCCTGATAATACGAGGTCCAGGTGTTTCAAGAACTGAGACTTCATGTCAGGCCGTCCATGAGTTTTACATTAAATAAAAACCAAAAGAACTGTGGATGCTGTAAATCAGGAACAAAAACAAAGTTGCTGGAAAAGCTCAGCAGGTCTGGCAGTATGTGTGAAGAAAAAATCAGAACAGTTCTGAGGAATGGTCACTGGACCCGAAATGTTAACTCTGATTTTTCCTTCACAGATGCTGCCAGACCTGCTCAGCTTTTCCAGCAACTTCTGTTTTTGCATCCATGAGTTTTCTTTTGTAAAATGTAATGTTTCCTTTATTTAAAAAATTGACTGTCAGTTGTTGTTGTTTCAGGAACCCTTTACATGTAAAACAATTTTTTTTTGCAGCACATCTGATTCTGGCAATGCCTTCCTTACTTTTTGGAAGCAGTAGTGAATATTCTGTCTACTTAAGCACTAAACATATCTGAAATTTAATTTAATTCAGCAACTCTCGCTTTTTAAAATTTCCTTTAATTTTTAATTTAGAGAATGGAATTCCTTTCATTCCTCTTCCATTCTAAACATGCCTTACCAGTCGGCCTGTCCCTTGTGACAAAGTAGTCAGGCTGGAAGACCTTCCAGGAGACTGACTCAAGTTGGTATTGTACTATCTATTTGAAAAGTACAGTTTACCTGAATATTGCAGTAAGGGATTCCTCCTTGCAATCTCTAATAACTTTGTTCTACAATGCACCCATTTTGGAAAATGTTGTCCTCCCAGGCTAATCACAATTGTTTGTAAATATTTTTAATTATCAGCTCTTTGCTTCCTCTTTAATTCAAAGCGCAAAGCAAAGCATAATTGCAAAGCATTGAGGCAATGTCCACAAAACTCAGTAGTTTCTAATGTGGCAAAAATGCTGGAATTGATCTGCTGAGGAGAAAAACATTGCAATTTTAGAAGAATTAGATGAAAAATATTTGACCAAAATGAGTTTTAAACTTCACGCAACAAACATTTATCAACATTCTTATAATGTTTTGATTTTCTAAAATTTTCAAGAAACTGAACAGTGACTCGCTTTCCTTTCTTACATCTTTAATAAATCGCATTCCTTTTCGAAGTATTTTGCTGGTAATCAAATATTTATTAGAAGCATCATATGTAGAGATCTTATCAAGATAGAAACTAATTTTTGTTTGTTCCTTTCGTTATCTTATACTTTGCAGCTCACCTCAATTGTTCTTGACTGTGGTGTTACTGAATGATGATGACTAAGACTTCGTAGTTGTTTGTTTTCTTTTCTTATTTAAGTACAGTGAATACAAAGTTTCACCTCCCTTGTTTTGTGAACTAAAAAGAAGAAATGCCCAAAATGCACAATAGGTCAGTAAGCATCTGAAGGATGGGGGACAACAAGGTGCAGGGCTGGATGAACACAGCAGGCCAAGCAGCATCATAGGAGCAGAGAGGATGGGATACCTTTGCTGGACTATTCTTCATATTGTGGCATTTACTTATACACACTTGTTTTATTTTTTAAATGAAATGAGTTTTTGAATTGACAGGTTAGATCATTTTCTAAAATAAAAAGCAGCAGTACTTGACTGCTTTAATTAAGGTGTCAGTTTACCTACTGGATGAATAAATCTGTAAGCAGTAACCGATTTTTCAGATCTGTTCCATATATTAATTCAGAACTTTGCACCTTTTCACTTCCAGTGTAACATCTGCTGTTTTTCTATAGCTTACTCCTGACGTTGCCTCTTTGTGATGTCTGGCGCATACGCTCACAGCTTGACGCCTACTACTTTGACAGGATTTAACCCTATGATTGCTGTGCTTCCTGTGCAGATTCATGCAAGTGTGTGGATATGAGCTGGTGCGTCTGGAGTTGGCCTGCTGCCACTTCCTGAATGAAACTTGCCTCGAGGTTATTGCTCAGATGTGCCCAAACCTCCAGGAGCTGAACCTTTCATCCTGTGATAAACTAAACACTCAGGCTTTCTGCCATATTGCTAAGATCTCAGGTCTCCGACGTCTGGTCGTTTACCGCACAAAAATTGAGGTAGGAACTCCTGCAGTGATTGGCACTGACAGCGAATTGCTTAACGTGCTTGTTTATTTTTTTAAATGAAAGAAGTGCTTGTCTTAGAAATTGTATAACAAATTTAACAGAATATATATTAGAAAGGATTTCACAAACAGTTCAGTTTTGAGTGATTCCGTTGCTTTATAATTTTGTGTTTAAGATTGAATAGCCATACCTGTGTGACCTATGGATTTTGCCTCTGTTGTTACAACTCACCAGGAATCAGGATGGATCCTGCCAATTTTATTTGACTTTTTGAGATTTAGAAGCATCGTTGGTAATAGTTAAGAATAAATAAGGACTTCACAAATGCTTATTGCATAATCAATTTTTATCAAGAGGTGCAGGAAAGTAATTGGGATGTGGTTTATTCTGTTACGGGTCTGAGCTACAGAGACTGATCTTCAAAATGGGAGTTATATTACCTGGCTGCAAATCTGCATTCTCACTATACCAATGGAGCTAAATTCTGAAAGTTTTTGAACATGATAATGAGTCCAAACTACAAATATTTTACAAAAATGAAACAGCTAAAAAAGTATGCCCTAAGTTATAATGTCCAGGAGATTTTTAAACACAAATTGACACTGCTTTGCAATTTTCTTTAAGTTGGTATCGGCTCAATCATTTGTCTGATTCCATAACTTCACAAAAGTTCATGACCACCCTCAGTTATGTAAGAGGAAAATCTGTTGATTTTTAATGGGGAAAATCATAAAAGCTACATCAATATATTTATCTACCTGCATTTCTATCTAACCAATTCAATACCCATTCAATTTGCACATTTAAAAAAAAATTCTCTTACCAATTGTGCCATCTTATGCTTACTGACTTTTCATGCCTGATGCATTATCTAAGTGCTATCTTCTTGCGAGTTTTTTTGTTCTCAAATTTATTTACTGCACCTTCTCATTCAGTATTATCTGCAAATTTAGATCCATTCCTCCTAAGGCTATACTCAAATCGTTGAAGTTCTTAGGAATGGTAGGTTTTCCAGAACAGAAGCCTGTGGGATACCCCAATCCACTCTGAGTACAACCCTTTCCTCCAGTTATCATTCCAGTTTACTATTACTGCCTGAACTGCAGATCCTTGATTCTCTCTAGCGGTCTTCTGCATAATACCTTCTTTCAAAAGCTTTCTGACAGCCTATCCACACCATATGTAGAAATATAAAACAGACTGTAAGAACTTTTACAAATATTTTAAAAAGGAGAGTGGCTAAAGTAAATTTTGGCAGAAACAAATTGTGGGAATTTTAAAAATAGCAGATACTGTGTGTCTGTCTTCACAATGTAAGATACAAATTACATGCAGAAATAGAAGGTATCCAAGACACCAGTAAAAATCAAATATGTACATTAAGTAATACCAATAGAGAATAAGTATTGGAGAAACTGAATCAACAAAAATGAGACCATAAGGATGTAGCAGCAGAAAAAGGCCATCAGTCAGAGTCTGCTACAGCAATCAATGGGATTATGGCTGACCTGATAATTCTCAACTCCACTTCCTGCCTTTTCTCCGTAGCCCTTGATTCCCTTACTAATTAAAAATCTGATTCTCTCAACCTTGAACATCCTTAATGACCCAGTCTTGACAGTCCTCTGTGATTAAAAAAAAATTACAGATTCTGTAGCCTCTGACAGAAGAAATTCCTTCTCATCTCTGTCTTATATGGGCAACCCCTTACACTGAGATTATGCCCTCTGGTCCTAGCATCTCCCATGAAGGAAACAACCTCTGAGCATCTACCCTGTCAAGCCCCCTACAAATCTGACAAATCCTCAAAATCCTCAAGACTTTTTTTTATGTATTAAGGGATATGAGTGTCACTGTCAAAGAATTCTAGGTGATCTCTATAAAATTACAATTATGAAACAGGCTAGGTACCATGAGATCGTTTCCCATGGTTGGGAAATCTCGAACACAAATTCAGAGTTTCATGATAAGGACTCAATAAATTATGACGGAGATGAACAAAAATGTCCTCATTCACAGGATTCTGAATCTTTGACATTCTCTATCCCAGTGGGCTGCAGTTGATTCATTGAGTTGTATTGGTATATTTATTGCTGAGATATAGAGAGTTTAGATCTCTTTGTGAATCTCGGGTTATGAAGTATAGGCAAGGAAGTGGAGTTAAGGCCAAGATTCGGCCATGTAATAAAATAGAATTCCTAAAGTGTGGGAGCAGGCTATTTGGCCCTTCAAGTCCATACCAACCCCTCCAAAGACCATCTCACCCAGGCTCACTCACCTACCCTATCCCAGTAACCCTGCATCTCCCATGGCTAATCCACCTAATCTACATATCCCTGGACACGATGGGAAATTTAGCATGGCCAATCCACCTAACCTGCACATCTTTGGACTGTGGGGTACCTGGAGGAAACCCACACAGACATGGGGAGAATGTACGAATTCCACACAGTCACGCAAGGGTGGAATTGAACCCGGTTCCCTGGCACTGTGAGGCAGCAGTGCTAACCACTGAGCCACCGTACTGCCCCAGTGAATGGCAGAGCAGGCTCAAGGTGCCTTAAGGATTACTTCTGCTCATGTTTCTCCTGTTCTTATATTCATTGCACTTTTCTATCCAACAAAGCTGTCATCTCATCAAGAATTTCTAACAAGTTTATCAAACACAATCTTCCTTTCTGAAATCTGTGCGGGTTACTTCTAATTATTTTCTTATGCTTGAGATATTTAATCATTTTATCCTTAATTAAAGACTCAAAATTAAATCAAATGTTAGGGTAACTCTGTTACCTTGTTTGAATTGCATTAGTCAATGTCAAATCACTGGCACTCACCTACACTGATAAGAATTTTGAAGTATAGAGCTGAATTATTGTGAAGTCATGAAGACTTTGCATAGCACTCATGGCTGGCAGGACATGACTCCCTCACGAAAGGAGAGCCAAGCTCAGTAGGACCTCTTGAATCAGTGCTAACTAAAAACAAACACAACTTTTGCTGCAGCCTTATCTTGCGGTTTACGATTAACAAAACTTTAGAGAGATTGTAACGCTCCTGAGGAATGCATGTGGTTGTGGAACTGTCACATTATCTAAGTGGCCAGCCCTCTACAAAACAAAATTAAAAAATACCTGCCTGCATCTGTGAGAGCTGAAAATAAATATGTTCTTGCAGTTTCAATACCTATTTATTAACATAACCCTAAGTGCTATCATTACAGCATTATTAATACTTTCCAGAACCTATAATTATCATGGTTGGCAGGGTCAGAGTGGCATTGTGAGTTCAAGGAGGTTACTTAAGGATCAGATATCTTTTGATGTGACATAAATATGCACATTTATTCTTGCATGGGATTATGTGCTTGAGGGAATTTAAAGGTATTTTCTTTAATGAATGGAGCTTTTTAGATAGTAAACTCTAAAATGAATGCTCACAACTTTATTTCATCTCAACATGGTTGCTGAGTTTTGCCTATGGTTGATATTGGATGAGTTGGTATGGAGGGTAGAGGAAAGGTAGTCAATGGGAAGGGAGGCAGGTGTTCATAAATTAGCATAAGGACTACTATACAGGTAGTTCTGCTATAATGCATGTTTCGTTAACACAAATTGGCTGTAAAGCAATTTCTTTTTCATTCACGGGATGAAGGCATCGCTGGCTAGGCAGCATTTATTGCCCATCCCTGATTGCCCAGATGACAGTTTAGAGTCAACCACATTGCTTGGGTCTGGAGTCACATGCAGGCCAGACCAAGTAAGGATGACAGTTTCCTTCCCTAAAGGACATTAGTGAACCAGAGAGGTTTTTCCCAACAATTGGCAATGGATTCATGGTCATCATTAGATTCTTAATTCCTGAGATATTTGTTGAATTCAAATTCTATCATCTGCCGTGGTGGGATTCGAACTTGGGGTCCCCAGGACATTATTTGGGTTACTGGATTAACAGTGAATAGTGGGCGCTGTTTGGATAACACAAACTTTCTGCTGTGTAGGAAAAGTGATTTTCTATGGCAATTTCTCTATAACATGATTTTCTATGACGATTTTCTATAGCGTGATTTTCTATAGCGCAAGGTCACACAAGAATACAAATATTGCGTTATAGGAGAACTACCTGTAAGGGATTCTGGATGGGTAAGGATCATGAATTGGAATGTGTGGTCATGTGTGGCAAGTGTGTTCTGGCAGGGTGTAGGAGCGAGAGCGAGGGATCGTGTAAGAAAACAGCTGATACTGACTCCCATCCTAACTTTTAATCCCACTGATCCAGGAGCTTTTCTGCTCACCATGGGAGGAAAATCCTAGTCCATTTGTAGGTACCCCACTGTCTTCTTTACAATTTGCCTAAATGTCTTTGAATGTATGCTTACACTTTGTCCTTGTTATGTTCCACAATACCTTCATTTATCACTTTATCTCATCTCACTTTATCCAGTTGCCTAGATGAAAGTAGCTTGCCTTGGCACCTGACACCCTTTGTGGCTGCTTGAACTCTTTCTGGGGTTAGTGGACCAGCTCGTTTTTGCCCTCCGCCCCCCGAATGAAAATCCAAATGTTCGGGGTATTTTCTTCCCAAATTGTTTTTGGACTTGGGAGAGAAAATTCAACCCAATGTTTAGGTAGAGAACCTTTCTTTAGAAGAAAGGTCTGGTAAAGGTCCCTTTACCTGAACTATTAACACTACTTATTTCTCCACTGAATATTTCCAGCATTTTCTGTCTTGATTCCTTCCTGCAAATGCCATTTTCCTGACCTCGCCTCGTTTATTGCATTAATTTTTGCAGCATTCCATTGTGATAACTTGTTCTCATGAGCCCTGAGTTGTTAATCCATTAATGCAACCATTACGGTAACAGCCTCTGCAGAAGAGATCTCTCTCTAGTGGGAGTTTTAAAACTTCGTCTGAATGCTTCCACCTTGTAACTGGATTAAAATATGGTCTTCTATCCTTTGTATTTAGGGGATAAATGAGAATATGTTGCATCA